GAGCTCAAGGCCAGCCTGGTCTACAGAGTGAGTTCTAGGACAACCAGGACGGTTTCTTCACTGCCAAAGATGCTTTTTTGCCATAATTACAACACCGTGTCAAAAACAGGAATGTAACCCTGGATATTGGTACATACCTGTAGTCACTATCTACTAGAGGCTGAAGCAAGAGAATTAAAGGTTCAAGGCTAGCCTGGGTTACACGGTAAATTCCAGGTCACTCTGGGCTATATAAATATTGTGATACCTGGCTGCCAAAAGAATAAATGTGTCTGTCAATACAGGCTTTTGCCCTGGAGCCCAGAATGGTCTTAAGATAAGCAGTCTGCCTGCATTAACCTCTCAGATGCTAGAATTTTAGGGGTGGATCATCATACTATAACTCCTAGAAGATGTCATTATGAAATCCTTCAGATGCTAAAGCCAGGGAATAGTGCAGTGGGGAAAGTGCTTATCTCTTTTATTACATGTATTGATGTGTGTGCCTAAGAACAACTTCTACCAAGTGGGTCCTGGGGATGGGACTCAACTGTCAGGCAAGTGCCCTTACCTGCTGAGCCATCTTGCTACCCCAGGTTCTCAACCCTGATTAGCCTGGAATTCACAGATACCTGCCTGCTCTGCTTCTCACATTTTTGATAATTTTTTTTCTATTAGCAAATCATTGTCATTGACTTATAGATCAGAATGAACTGTTTTTCAGAGAATTTTGTTTGCCTGGGGAGAAGCACTTGCCACACTAGCATGAGGACTTGGGTTTGTTCCTCAGAGCCCTTGTGAACAGCCAGGAATGGTGCACACATTTGTAACCACACTGCTAGGGAGAAGGAAATACTTAACTACCTGGAGTTCACTTACCAGCTAGCCTACCTAATTGGTAACCCTAGGTCCCAGTGAGAGAAATACTATTCCCAAAATCAGAGTAGATGGCTACTGAAGAATGACACCCAAGATTGGCCTTAGGCTCCATGCATGTGTGTGTGTGTGTGTGTGTGTGTGTGTGTGTGTGTGTGTGTGTGTATCACACATGCACAGAGACTTATATGCCAAAAGGAGGAGGTGTTTTTCTTAGTGTGTAAATAAGATGAGAATACTCTGAAATTAATTTGGTAACTTTTAGTCTTACAGGTAATACATAGCAGAGCCCTGACACTTTCTTTTAAGGGCAGTCTCACATTCACTGAGCTCAGGCTGACATCAGACTCGGCTGTCCTACTGCTGTGGCCTCCTGTGTCCTGGGGTAGCGCATGTAGACCACCACACCTAGCTTTATTGTGGTGGTTGTTGTTGTTTTGTGCTGTGTGTGTATGTGTGTGCATGAGAAGTAGGCACATATGTGTACATACGGCAGTCGGGACACCTTTGCTGTAGAGTCAGTTCTCTCCTCCCACCTTTTCTTGGCTTCTGAAGATGGAATTCAGGTCCCCAGGCTTGCACAGCCAGTACCTAACCCTCCAAGTCATCTTACTCATGGCTTCGAGATTTTTCTTGATGACCATATTTTCATTTACATGCTATTTGTATTGTCTGTGGAGTAATATCTATCAAATCTTTGTGGTTAAGAGTGAGTAGTGCTTTTGTAGAGGACTCCATGTCAGGTGCTTGTCTGGTCCAGGGGGATCTGACACCCCTGGGCTCCTTAGGCACCCATGGTCACAGACTCATACCCACACACACACATATACACAATTAAAACAATCAAAATAAATATTAGTAACAGTAAAGAGTAATGTGTCTGTAGCTCTGTGGTAGAGTGCTTGCTTGGCATGGCAGAAGGCACCATTTCTAGTCACAGGAAGGACTAGGTCAGGTGCTGCTCCCAGACTCTCTGTCTAGCCTTTTCTGACTGTCTCCATAGGTCCATCTTCCTCAGCAGCAGCAGGGTTTGTTTTCATTCTGTGTTATTGACTCAGTACTTTATGTATGTAATGTGAATAACTGTTGTTATATTATTATCCAACATAGTCAGCAAGCGTTGATCACGCTGGGACTGCTGAATGTTGACTGTCTAACCGCAACAAAGATAGGGAAGTTGCATAAGAATAAGGAACTGCCTTAAACTGATTGTAGAGTCTTGGCAGAAAGGGAATGTTTTTCAGTGTCTTGCACCCACTATTCTTGTTTTCCTGTTATCTTTAACCTGCTGTACCCATTAGAATTATTTATTAGACACTGTTTTCAGGTCTTCTTCATCTATCACTCTGTTTTTGAGACAGGACTTGAAAAAAGGGACTTTGAACTCCCTTTGTAGCCAAGACTGACCTTGATTTCCTGATCCTCATTTCTTCACCTTCCAATGCAGGTTTATAGACACACACATCACACGTCATGTAACTCTGTGTGTAATCTTTCTTTCTTTCTTCCTTTCTTTCTTTCTTTTTTCTTTTTTTATATCTGCCATTCTGAAATGCCATTTTTCTTGTATATGGTCTCCTCCCCTGTCCTTTTTGGTATGGAGACTCAAACACTGTGACCTAGGTGTGCTAAGCAAGTGTTGTACCAGCAAACTATATACTCCTACATCTGGTTCCCTTTTGCCAGTTTTAATAGGACTCCTGTTACTCACAAAGTTGAAAAATACTAGTTAAGGGCCAGCCACGAGGCTCAGAGAGTAAAGGTGCTTGCTGCCCAGCCTGGGGGCCTGAGTTATCCCTAGGACCCTCTTGGTGGAAAGAGCTGACCCTTGAAAACTGCCCTTTACACAGTGAGCCCTCCACACACTGATACATGCAAACAATACGCACAAATATATACATGTAATAAACATTTTAAAAATCTATGGTTATGATTGTTTAGCCTGCATGTAAATCTGTGCACTACTTGCTTGTCTGGTGCCAAAAGTAGGCATTGTATCCCCTTGGAAGTAAAGTTACAGACAGTTGGGAGCTGCTGTGTGGGTCCTGGGGATTGAACCTGGGTCCTCTGGAAAGGCAGCAAGTTTTTATTTTGAGACCCTATCTTTATAGAAAATTATAATGGGCAGAAGAAATTGGGAATGGCATGGACAACATGAAGTCTTGGTACACATGCAGTCTTGCACCAGCTCAGCTTTTAGTTGGTTTCTAACTTTATTTTGTTGCAAGTGATGATATAGATCTTTTTTTTAAAAAAAACAAAAAAGAACAAAAGTAGATTGTCAGAACAGTGAAGGTTAGTATGTCAGTGGTAGCACACCTTTGAATATACTTTTTGTGATACTTATATAAATATAAATTTATTTTAAGACTTATTTATTTATGTGTGTATGTCCACCTGCAGGCCAGAAGAGGGCACCAGATCTCATTACAGATGGTTGTGAGCCACCATGTGGTTGCTGGGAATTGAACTCAGGACCTATGGAAGTGCAGTGAGTGCTTTTAACCACTGAACCATCTCTCCAGCCCCTAAATACAATTTTAAAAATCCTGATCAGACACTTGTTGGGCCCTGAAAGTACTTCCTCAGAGCTCTCTGACTCTCCAAAATGCTTTGAAATTTTCTTTTGTTTTATTTATTTACTTACTTGCCCATCCATCGATCCACCCATCTATCATCCATCCATCTATCTGTCTGTCTGTCTGTCTGTCTATCATTTTTCAAGCTATTCTCTATGTAGACCAGGCTGACCTCTAACTCAGAGATCTATCTGCCTCTGCCTCCCTAGCACTGGGATTAAACGCGTGAGTCACCATGCCTGACAAAGACCTCTTTCAGAATAAAATTCCCGGCTTTTCCTAGATGAGCAAGCTAATCTCTGGGTGCCTGTCCTGCACCTACATTTCTGTCTGTCTTTAATCACATTTGTTTATTTATTTGTGTGTGTGTGTGTGTGTGTGTGTGTGTGTGTGTGTAGGCAAGCATCATGTGGCAGGGTGGAGTCAGTTTTCTCCTTGTATCATGTGAGTTCTGGAATTGTACTCATGTTGTCAGGCTTGGTGCCTTTGACCGCGGAGCCACCTCTGGCTATTTCAGAAGCTCAGAGCTAAGCCTCCTGACTGAGCTCAGCACTTGGGACTGGACGGCAGACCAGCCTGAGTTATGTATGTAGTAAGACCCTGTCCTCCACCCAGTCCCCTTCCCACTGGAACTGTCCCATAGAAGGTCAGGGAACAGCTCAGGGTAGACTCATGGATGCTTAGGTACCGTGGTGAGTGAGGTGATGTTGCTGATGAGGTGAGCAGATTCCCTCCCTTCTTCCTTTCTTTACCTTTCTTTCCCTTCCCTCATACACATTTTTTTTGTCATTGTGTTTTGTGTATGAGGAGGTCAGAGATCAGCATCAGGTGTTGTTCTTATGTACTCTCCAGACAGGGTTTCTAGGTTATCCTGGAACTCACCGAGTAGGCTAGACTGCCAGGGATTCACCTTTCTCTGCCCCAGCAGCTCTGGTTACAGACCCATGCACCATGTCCTGGAGATGAAACTCAGGGTTAAGACTTGCATGGCAGGTTCCTTAGGGCCTTTGCCCACTAACACATCTCACCAGCCCTGGTGTGTTTGCTGTGGTGCTGGTGGTCTCCTAGTATAAAATGCCTCATTGATGTGTGTTATCCTTGTTGGGGGCCATGCTGATTGTCTCTGTATCGTTCCAGTCTTTAATAAGTACACTGTCAAAGCAATACGGTTTCAGTTTTTTGAGACAATATCTGTGCATCCAGGCTGGTCTGGCCTTTGCCTTCTGTGTGCTGGGACTATGGGCACCAGGCATGGCTACTTTCTATCCTTCTATGCAACTTAACATATCCATGTATGTTCATTTATTAGTGACCACATAAATGTGTGACCATTTATTAATAGTGGTTTCTTTGTGCTCAGAAGATGCTTCACGAATGCTTGCCACCTGAGAGGTGTCCTGGGTATGCTGGTGGTATCTTGTGTCTCTGTAGTACTTAATTTTCAGGTCCAAACACTGACGAGGAGAGGTTAGTCTTAGTCTTTGGATAGATAGTATTTGTGATTTAACGTAAACTGTCTTTCTTGTTTGCACAATGATGCTAATATTGTCTTTTCTATTCCTCCAGGTTGGTGACATTGTGAAAGTCACAAGGATGAATATAAATGGCCAATGGGAAGGCGAGGTGAATGGGCGCAAAGGGCTTTTCCCTTTCACGCATGTTAAAATCTTTGACCCTCAAAACCCAGATGACAACGAGTGATCGCTGTCGCCCTCCCTGCTGCTGCCTTGTCCTGCCTGTCATAGTCTCCTTTGAAGTGGGAAGCACTCTCCCATGCAAGTCACAGCGAGCTGCTGGGCCGCTCCCCACACATTGGTGGTCTCCTGCACATTTGGAATGCCTCCAGCGGCTGCCTCTTGGCATTTGTATCATAGTCATGCTGTCAAAGAGTAGCTGATTTTAGAGTTCTTCTGGATTATAAACTGGAAATACTGGCGGAAGCACACAAGTCGAGAGAATTGAACACAGAAAGGGTCTTCCTTCTCATCGCTGCCTTGTTTATACTTGAGGCTGACTGTTGTGCTCGCCATAGAAAGCGTGAGCCTGCTGATGGTCCACTCAGAGGGTTAGCCTCGGCAAGCTCTTGCTGTTGCTGGGCTGTAGAACAGTGGCTATGCCATCAACTTGTTTTTCTTTAAACAACAGAGGAAGTGAACTCCAGACAGTTCTGTCCAAACTCCTGAAATTTGGCTTGTCTCCACTTTCTTTTGTTTAGCTTTGGTTTTGGAAGACTAATTCATTAGAGTTGTGTGCTCTGAACAGATTTTTAAATAGTAGGTTGGATTTTTGTGATAGTTTAAGGAACGGTGCGTGTCCCTGAGCTTCCAAACTGAAGCTGCTGTATGTAACTAAAAGAAAATGAAGACACCCTGAAGTAGAGGCCTTTCTTTTGTTACCTTGTGTACCGCGTGGCAAATAATGCACAGCAGCAGCCATGGTGTGCCGTGCTGTGTGCAGCCGGGAAGCACCAGGGTGAGCCACTGGTGATCTGTGGAGACTGTTGCTGTCACAGTTGCCATTGACAGGAGCAGAAAGAGTGGAGCACTTGGTCAGTTCTTTCTAGCTTTTCAATGAGTACACCCCTTTATTAGAACTAAAGTTAAGTTTATAGAATTAGTGGATTCACCACAAAGTCCTGTCGGCCGGCCCCTCCTGTGCAGGCTGCATAAAAGTGGTGGTGCTGTCTGTCCTGGTTCCATAGCCTAAGTGGAACAGAGCACAGTGCTCCTGAGCAAAGAAAATGCAGGCTCTGGAACCCCTAACCCATATACCATGAGCCAACATGCAAACCAGCTGATACAAATGTGTATCTGACCACTCATCCACACAAAGCAACCCTGAGTTCTAGAACCTTCCTAAAGTACACTCTGTTTCAGCTGGACCCTGATGAGGACACACCTCCACACACAACACCACAGCAGTTTCAGAAATGTAGCAGTGACTTAGTGAGTAGTTCCAGCATTTACAGAACAGCTAGCTGTAACTGTGATCCTGGCTCTGAGACTCTTAGGCTGTGAGAACTAAGGGAACATATTCTGGAGGCAAAACTAACACAGCCATTTGTCCACTATATTTATTCTCTTAAAGACTTTTTTTGTTTAATGTTGTGTATATTGGGCATGGTAGCACACACCTTTAATTCCAGCACTCGGGAAGGCCGAGGTAAGCAGGTCTCAGAGTTCAAGGCCAGCCTGCCTGCTCTGTGTAGTGTATTGTAATCTGGACAACCAGATGGACATAGAGAGACTGTTTCAGAGTCCCCCACCCCCAAAAAAAGTATATGGGCGTTTTGCCTGCATGTATGAATGTGCATCCAATAGGTGCAGTGCCTAAGGAGGCCAGAAGAAAGTGTTGGATCCTCTGAAACTGGAATCACTGTGTGGATGCTAAGAATTGAACCTGGGTCTTCTGTAAGAGCAGCAGCAAGTACTCTTAGCTGCCGAGCCATGTCTTGAGCCCCATCAGTTTCTCTTTAAATCAGTATCCCATCAGACTGATGAGTGCCATATTTTAGTGTTCATGTGACAAAATGGTTATTTGGAGTTTGGTGGTAGTATGTCTGCCTATCTGTGGCTTTCCTGAAAATGGTAGATGTCAACTCTTTTCCATCTCTGAAAGCTGCCGGTTTTTTAGCCAGATCTGTTGAGTGAGCCCCAAACTGCCTAGAACAATATTTGCCCTCTGGCTAGTGGCCAGCCTGAGGCCTTTTGATACCTGCACTGAGTACATGCCTTGTTCACAGAGGACACAACCTCCAAGGAATCGCACCCCATTACTGGGACTTGAGCCTCATGCCTTACACATGCTAGGTAAGCCCTCTACCACTGAGCTCTTCTTTAAATTTTGAGATGGGATTTCCATAAATTGCCCATGCTGGCTTCGAATTTTCCATTCCCAGCCTCAGCTGAAATTACAAACGTTTGAGTCACCACACCCAGCTCTTAAAGTCTTTTGAAACTACATTTAACTGAAGGGCTTGGGTGTCTTGATTATAGCAGCTTGCTCAGTGTAGGCAGCCATTTTTGAGAACAGGATTTCCCTTCTCAAGTCTGTTGATGAGCAAGACTCCATGTAGATTCAGGATCAAAATGCCCCGTAAACCTGGAGTTTGATTTATAAAATCAGCTAATTTGGCCCATGTTTCTATAGCTCCCTCAGGTCCAGAGCTGGACATAAGACTTAAGTTCAGAACTCAGGATATGTGCCAAAAGTAGTAATTTCCTGAATTAGAGGTTTGTCAGTTTATTAATCAGGAAAAATTTTCCTTTTCACACTGATAGAAAGTGGCATCTTCCTAGGTCCCACTCTCTGGGAAGACACGTAGCCTCAGAGGGGAGTGTGATCCAGGGGTGGCTTTCCTTCTGTGACTGTCATTGCATAGGCTGCTCTGCTGTGTTGGACTGGGATGACAACCCTCTCACTTTTGCTGTTGAATCTGAGAAGGGAATGACTAGGTTGCCAGGGCATAGACGGCTAGATCAAAGTCCTGTCACCTGGGCAGGACCTCCCTGCAGAAGGCATCCTTGGCACTTCTGCACTGCTTTGACGCCACCTGTTGAGGGTTAACAGGGTGCACGGCTTTGGTCACCCAGATTCAGAACCCTCTGTGCTCACCGGAAGAGACTCTGTGCCCTCCCTTGGAGTTGCACGTTCCTGGCACTGCGCCAGCCTTCCTCTACACCTGTTTACAGACAAGATGGGCCAGGATTGATGGCCACTGCTCTTGTAACTTTGGCTCAGAAGAATAATGAGCTTTTTTTTTTTTTAAGGGATGATGTGTTTTTGTTCTAGTGTTTATAATTTAATCTTTTAATATTATGTTCATTAACCTCTTAAAATGAGTGAATTCTTGATTGTTTTAACACAGTACCTAAGACTAATGCTTTCTGTGGCCTCCTCACCACAGGACCAGAGAACCACATCCCTGGTAACTGCTGTGAGTGTGGACACTGAGCTGCTTGTATATTCTAAAGGAGCAGGAGGACAGTTCTCTGAGACAGGAGGAACAGTGGCCTTGCTTCTAGACGGTCTTCACTGTGTGTTTTAAAATGACATAAAACTCTTTTGACATGTATAACTTAAAGATCATAAGTGTCAGGCAATAATATTTTCTGTGTAAGCTTTTAAAATTATTTTTTGGGGATTATAGCTTGTTTTATTTTGTGCTATAAAATTAACAGTATTAAATGACTTATATTCTTAGAATACAGTGAGTGTCTTTTCTTAACAGATTAGTGCCTTTTTATTTTTGTATTCCATTTTACGTTACTGGTCCCAGCATCAAAACCCTTGTTTCCATGGCCTGTTTGTACATTGTCTCAATAAAACTTGCACCAGCTGGCGGTGGCAGCAGCCTCGGCGTTTCAGTGTCTCCTCAGTCAGCCCCCACCAGCCTCTCCCGACGTGAAACTGGCGAAGCTCCTAGTAGTCACAGAAACTTGCTCATGCTTCTCCCGCTTCCCTCACCCCACAATGACAGCTTCTTAGTCTGGGAAATAACTGTTCTCTGGATACAGTGGGAGCTGTGGGAGAGCCACTCACTTGGACTCAGCCTTCCGAGCAGGGGTGCAGACAGCTGCATGTGGTGAACCAGTACAGGCTTTGCTCTGCTGAGTGGCCATTGAGCATGAGCTAAGCAGAGATGCTCGGTGGTCAGGGAAGGTGAGCCGTCCTGTCTGCTGCCATTCCTGTTTGGATGTGCACCTCCTTGTGAGCTTTGGGGGTCTCTAGGAGGGAACTTTGGTGTTGGTGGCTTACTTAAAAACCTCACAAATTGCTGGGTGGTGGTTGTGATGCACACCTTTTAGTCCCAGCTCTTCTGCCTCCCAATAGGCAGAGGCAGGTGAATCTCTGAGTTGGAGGCCAGCCTGGTCTACAGAGTTCCAGGGCAGGCAGAGAAACCCTGAAGCCTCACAAACTCTTTGGTAGTTATAGCTTAGGACTCCCCTGCTGTTACCCCAGGAAGCACATTGCATCTTTTATGTGCATTTTATTCTCACGCCTGTTTATGTGTGTATCAAGAAATCCAACCAACCTCTTAGACCTTGAATCCTCTTGCCTGCCAGTGCTGGCATTGTGGGCATGTGTAGGCACGCTCGTCTTCTGCGGATTAGAAGGTGGTGAGAAGCACTGCTTTGCAGGCCTGCGCCTGAGCTACCCAGACCTCCAGCATCTGGGAGGTTCAGACCTCAGCACTTTTATTCCCCCCACCCCGGTTCTGAGTAGTGGATACGAGTGCTGGAGGTTGAAGTAGAGTGAGGTTTTAGAATTAAAGAACTAGGTCCCATAGGGTTCAAATTGGCCCTGCGCTTCCCTATGACCACCATTTACTTCAGAGACAACCCACCAATGAGCCTTTAGGCCTGGGCACCCTCAGCCAAGCAGCCTGCAAATGAGGCGGGGGCTGGACCGTGCATAGAGCTTCGCTCCCCAACTCAGTACCGGAAAGGTTTGCTCCAAACCCCTCTGCTCACCCTTGGGTCACCTGGACTTGAACCACAAGCCTCACTAACCAGTTCTTGTGACACCCACTTGACAGGACACTGCTTCCCATACCCCCAGCCTACAGAAAACTACAGCTATCAGTGACCACCCCCTGCCTCCCAAGTGTGGGGACAGCAGACCTTGCATCTTGAACAACCTGGCCTTGGTCTGGGGTGAGGATGAGAGGACCCCACACTGGGCAGAGGTAGAGACCCCAGGAAGGATTCAAGCTTTCTGGAGGCTCCCTATTGCCTTCATGGGGCTGGGAGTGGGTTGGAGCTGGCGGGGTCTGGTGGGACCATGGCTCCTTATATTTCGTCTCTGAATCAAACTAGCCTCTAAGGGATGCTGTGTTCTCAGTCCAAGAGCCAGATGTTGGAAAAAAGTTCGCTTTTTCTTTTGTCTTCCTTTTCCTTTCTGTCTTTCTTATTTTTAAAGATTTATTTGTTTATGTATATGAGTGCTCTACTTGCATGTATCCCTACCTGAAAGAAGATCCCACTATAAATGGTTGTGAGCCACCATATGGTTGCTGGGAATTGAACTCAGGACCTCTGGAAAAGAGCAGCCAGTGTTCTTAACCACTGAGCCATCTCTTCAGGCATCTCTGTCTTTCTTATTTATGTATTTCACTACCATCATTTTATGAGACAAGGTCTCTCTATAGCTCTGGCTGCTCTGGAATCCCTGTCTTAAGGGAGTGCACCACTGCACCTGGCTTTATTATTTCCCCCTTTGTTTTGTTTAACTTTGTGATACAGCCTAGGCTGGCCTCAGGCTTCTGATGTTCCTGCCTCCACCTCTCAAGTTCTGGAATTGGTTTGTGCCACCAAGCCTGATTCATTCATCACCAGGACTTTGTGCATGTTAGGCGAGCACTCTACTGACTGAGCTACATCCTGGCCTCTAGCTTTTTCTTGGCTGAAAAAAAGATGGTCCTGTACCCCTCTGTTGGGGATCTGAGTGAGAAGAGTGGGGAGCCCCAAGGGAGGCAGAAGCTTGCTTCATGAGAGGGATGCCCTGGGGTTGGGGAGCAGTATGAGGCTCCCCATTCTCCCAGGCCATGAGCAGACCGCACACTCGTTACTTCAGCAAACCAAACCTTGTGTCTGGGGGATGTTCAGTCATTCCAGCCCTGTGTTTGCTATTGTCAGGATCCTGGAATGTGCCACCTCACCAGAATCAAGACTAGGACTTTGGCTGCAGGGTTCAGCATCTTGCTGGGTCTTCCTGAGTTCTCTTGTCACATGAGCCACCTGACCTCTGAGGGCTTTTCTGAAGGTAGCTGTCCTAACTAGTCCCAGGTTTAGTGTTTGCTCTATGAAGCTCTTGCCACTTCTGCCCTACAGGACAGGAGGGACCTGAAGCCTAATGCCCTAGGCCCCAAGGGTACCATAATGATCTTACTCCTTGCCAAGATTTCTTCCCAAGTGGTCATCTTCACAGCCGTTATACTTCTCTCCTTCCAGTTTCAGCTTTGGTACCTCAAACTCAGCAGCCCCTGTTCTGCTTCCTAAAGCACCTACATACCTGACTCGACATCTGTCTTGTTCTGCCAACAGTCCCGGGAAAGCTGCGGTAGACAGGTTTGTGAACTGCAGGACTTGGACGCCGTAGGGTTTCCATTGCTGCAACAGGACACCATGACCAGAAACCAAGTTGGAGAGGAAAAGGTTTGCTTGGCTTACACTTCCACATTGTTGCTCATCACTGAAGGAAATTGGGATAGGAACTCAAGCAGGGCGGGATCCTGGAGGCAGGAGCTGATACAGAGGCCGTGGAGAGGAGCTGGCTTGATCCTCATGGCTTGCTCATCCTGCCTTCCTATAGAACCCAGGTCCTGAAGCCCAGGCATGGCACCACCTACCATAGTCTGGGCTCTCCGTCATTGAACACTAATAGAGAAAATGCCTTAAAGCTGGATCTCATGGAGGTATTTTCCTCCATTGAGGCTCCTCCCTCTCTGAGGACTCTACCTTGTGTCAAGTTAACACACAATCCCAGCCAGTACAGGGTCCCTAACCTCTCTAAACCTCAGTTTCACCATCCTCTGACTAGTGGTGAAGAATAAAGAATAATCAGACCTGCTGGTGTATGGCTGTAATCCTGGCTACTCCAGAGGCAGTTGAAATGATAGTTCGAGGCCTGACTGGACTACAGAGTCAGTCCAAAGCTAGTCTGGGCAATTTAATGAGACCTTGTCTCAGAATGAAAATATATAAACAGCTGGACAGTGTTGGTGCACGCCTTTAATACCAGCATTCTGGAGGCAGAGACAGGCAGATTTCTGTGGGTTCAACCAGCTTGGTCTATGTAGTGAGTTCTAGGACAGCCAAGGCTTATACATAGAGAAAACCTGTTGAAAACCCTGTCAAAACTAAACAAAACAAAATAATGGTTGAGTATAGAGGGTAGTGGCAGAACAATTTTCTAGCATAAGTGAGACCATGGATTGAATCCCCATAACTTCAAAATAAATAAAAAAAATAGTAAATCAAGCTGCATATGGTGGTGCTCAGCCACTCAGGAAGCCAAGGCTTAGATGGCAAGTTTCAGAGTAGGATGGATGGCTCAGTGATTAAGGGCGGTTGCTGAGCGGTTCCCAGCATCCACATAGCAGCTCACAAACAATTCCAGAGGACCCAACACCCTCTTTTTTGACTCCACAGGCTCTGCATGTATCTGGTGCGTAGACATACAGATGGACATGGAATAAAAATAAGTATATTTTTAAGAAGATTTCAGACAGGTTGTGGTGGTATATACTTTTAATCCCAGCACTCTGGAGGCACAGGCAGACAAATCTCTGTGAGTTTGAGGCCAGCTTGATCTATATAGAGTATTTCCAGTTCAGCCAGAGCCCTATACAGCTAGACCCCTGGTCCAAACGACTCAGCTTGAAGGATGTAGCTCCAGCTTAAACAGGCTCTGGCTTCAGGCCCAGAACCTAGTACAGTGGCAAAGGCCTAAAATCCCAGCCCTAGAAGCAAGAGGTAAGTTCAAGGTCATCCTGGGTTACATAGCAAGTTTAAGGCCAACTTGGGCTGAATGAGACCCTGTTTAAAAAAAAAAAAAATTCCCACAGATCTTTTGTTTCTTTTATGTCACGTACCTTGGTCACATCCACCTCCAATTCTCCATTCCACACCATGATACCCCAAATACCCAACAAAGCCCCCTCCTCCCTTCATGGCCTTTCTTGGTTTTTGATAAGTGTTAGAACTCTTGTCTAGCAAGGGCAAGGCCCTGGCTTCCATCCTCAGCTCTTGGGATAAAAAAAAAACCAAAATAGCAGTCTACTGAGTCAGTTAGCGCTGCCTGCTGGAATGTTGCCTGGGCTCTGTGGAGGCTCTCCTGCCGATTTGAACAGTTAGCCATAGCTCCAGGGAGTCCATGAGTGCAATGACTGTCGTGTCCAGAAAACAGCACTTCGCAGCTCTCCTCCCTATCCTACAGACCTTACGTTCTTTCTTCCCCTCTTCCACATTTCTCCCTGAGCCTTGAGGAAACGAAACGGGGATTGACATAGACAACCAATTCATAGTCGAGCACTCGGCAGTCACGTATTCTCAGCATTTTGGCTAATTATGAGTCCCTTCGCTGATTGTTGGCCATTGCAGAGAGCAGCTTCTCTGGCCGCTACTGTGTATAAACATGAATAATTAGAAGGCAATTTGACACTTCCATCTAGCAAGACAGCAAGGGCCTAGGACCTGCCTGCCATGGGCTTTTAACCACTTGCATTCTCTCCTGAGGAGCAGGCCTTAAATCCAACGGCAAAGTGTTTGGTTACCCCATGATTTTTGTGCCACTGTTCCGTCAGTGGATGTGCTACTATAGCACAAAGTGTCCGGCACTAGGTGAGCCCACC